CTCTGTCTCCTCTGGATCTGTTGTCCAACCCATCAGTTGTGGTCAGAGGAGCGAGTCCCTCTGGGACCAGCAGAGGGTCTCTGCCCAGCCCCCCAGCCACCACTGTGGGAGCACATAGCTCTGCAAGGAGGAGGTACTGGCTGTGACCTTGTGTCAGTCAGTATGAATTTATGTCTCCTCTTGCCCCACCTTCATCCTCCTAAACAAAGATGCAAATTAAACACTCCCGGGATTTGTGTCACGGAACACTCAGGGTGGGGGCTAAGGGGGCTGGAATCTCTGCTGCATTTAAGGGGCTACAGTGAATCCCAATGAGAGCCTGAAAAGGAAACAGCACCGGCCCCACCCGGCACTTAGGGTGCTGAGTCTGCGTGATGTTAAGCCAGGCTTCTGACCACAGCTCAGGGGTCTGGTCTGACCAGTTAGCCTTTGAAACCAACCAGCTTTGGATTCCTCAATCCCTCCCTGAGGTTTTACCTGAACCACCAGCTTCTGTATCTCTGAAGACAGATGATGAGGACCCTTAACATAAGCCGTTCGCACAGCCCTGTGCAGGCTTTGTGCTGCACGGTCTGCCCGGCGAGCTGACCGAGGTTGGTATTTTACTGATCTTAGAAATAGTCTGGTTTCCCGATGCACTGTTTCACTGAACAAGCAACAGGAGCCACTTCTCGCTGATAAAAGCAAAAATGGGACTTAATGAAAAGACACTGGGAGTGTGCGTGGAGTGGCCAGGACCTGAGCCAACCCAGGAGCTGTAGGAGGTTTTAGGGAGCCCCAGACACCAGGCGGGGTGGGGTGCTACCGGGCCCACTGCCACCCCAGAAGGAACCACTCTCCACCCGACCCTCCATCTCACTCACTGTAGGTTCACATCCCGGCAGTGCCAGGTCACACTGAAGCCACTAGCACACACCTCAATGGGGTAGTTGGCCCCGTCTCAGCTGAGGGCGTGCCTGGTTTGGGGAGAGGCCCAGTTAGAGGAAGGCGGTTCCCCTACTGTTCCGAGTTAAGGTGCAAGTCAGTGCCCGTCACTCAGGAGAGCCAGGCTGGTCGGACCTCATTGTGGTGACCAGGCCTTCTGAGCTCACTTATTACTTTCTATGTTTGAAGTCCCTGGAGGAAGAAAAAGTGAAGGTTCTAGTACTTATTTTGTGTTTCCCACGTACCAGGTGCGGTAAGCAAGCCACTTCAGACAAGACCCAGAGCAACCACGTTAATAGGCCATGGAGCAAGTTGTGCAGTCAGGCTTCTGTGATCCTGAAACCCGTGTCCCCTTCAGATCCATAGTAACCAGGGGAAAATGGGGGGATTTATGGGACTGTGTGCTCCTGTAGGGGCTGGGATGTGTGTGTTTAAATCCACATCTTCAGAAACTCGACTAGAACCACAGCCACTGATTGGCTGCATGGAGGCAGAGGAGGGGAGCCTTCCAGCCACTGGTCCAGCTCGTGTGGAGCTCAGAAGTTGCTCCTTCTGTCCTGAAAACAACACCAGAGCTGAGGGAGCTGCAAACCCATTGCTCTTCTTAGATCCCAGAAAACCGAGGGGAAAAGCTGCTCCCAACCCAGAGAGGCAGCTGGGCAGGCTTGGAGAGTCACAGCTCCCAGGGCAGAAACCGCTTTTGTAAGAACCCCGGGGGCAGGCAGATTTAACAGGTCCCTGAGGCCAGCAGGAGGCTCAGCGTGGGGAAGTCTGAGTGTGACAACTCCAGGGGGCCAGTCAGAGGGGCTCCATGCTCTTTTTCATGCATTTTACCTCCAGGACCATGCCCTGTTCTCAGAATGAATGTCAGAGAAAAACCCCTCATGCTTCCTGCCTGGAAAGGAGAAAATAACTCTATTGAAATATACCCAGAACATTCTGTTTCATTGGGGGAAGTTGTTTTTTGATGGTTTTTTTTAATGAGAAATTATTTTACCAGAGCCTAGCCAACCTGGGGGAAGGGAAATACCTTCTGTGTCGCCTAAATTAGGGTGGGTGGAAAGAGACACACTTGTGGAGGACACAGCTCAGGGCACAAGCTCAATGAGAACTAATCACAGGACTACAGATGGTCTCCTCTGTCCCACCACCCCATCGCCTTACCTCCATGTCAGTAGGGTCCCTGTGTAATAGCAGGAATAAAACTAAAAGAAGTAAATGTCTCAGGAGTGTCTAGGGAAAACCCAAAGACAGTGGGGAGATGAAAACAAGGACACACAGGCGGCTATAGACGCTCACACCAATAGCTGTAGCAAACTACATACAGCCCAGCCCCAGTAGATAAACAGAAAACCTCGCAGAAGAAACTATTTATTTTGGTTCTCTTACCCTGTGCATTCCATGGTGCATCCTTGCCTAGAATTTAGTGGAAGCAAGTCCATCTCAGAAGGGACATAACTGAAAAGGGATGGCTTTCCAGACTCTGAA